ACAGCACATAACAACACAACAACAATGCTTATATCTCGTAACATGAATTGATTCCCTGATATACTTTGGTAATGTTGTGAGAAAGGGTCATTCCCTGGAGAAAGATATCATGCTAGGTAAAGTATAGGGTCAGCAGAAAAGGAGAAGACCCTCAACGTGATGGACTGAAATAAATTCGAGAACATATCCAAGGAGGGGGCACTATGAGTTGGGTTCAACTCGACGGCACATAACAACAACAACATGTTTCAAACATGTATGTAGTTCTCTTTTGGGTCCATTGATGTCTTCTACATTCTCTCTAGATATAGGTAAAATACAATTATTTATTCCCCTCAGTGACCAACATGTTTTATCCTCTTTAAATTAGTGTTATAAATACAAATGCCTATGCAAGAAGATTACAACTTTTCTTTACGTAATTGAATTAAAAACAAGATATGAAGCAACAGCAACAAAATATTAAGTGGATGCAATAATTTATTGTTATGTTATATAGAATTTACCTATTTTAAATTGTTTTGTCTGAATAAGAAAGTCCTACTTAAAATTTAATGAAAGAGAGAAAGAGATATTTAGAACGTTTAAAATGTTTGGTGATATTCTAACCATTATGTTCCACATGTCTTTGAGATAAAAATGCTAGTCATCAGGATTTATTGAAAATGAACTCCTATTAATGCAAGAAACATGTTGTCATGAAATGAAAATCAAGTAAATAAAGCAACATTGAGTGTTTACATTCTTATAACTGAAACAAAGCTGAGAATTTAGGCAATTTAATGCCTAAATTTAAGAATTATCTATTGACTAAAGCAGATAAAAATAAATTCTCATACACTTCCTTAACCCTCTGCTTGGTTATGGCCTCCGAGATTATAACCATTTTATGGCTAAAGATGTTATTATTTTAATTGTGAGTGGGTATTTTTTATTATAGTAATTTTAATATAATATGATTTATGGTATTATGTTTATTGTTACTCACATTATCCCGGAATCGAAAACTGTGTCCAATTTTAGTCCTTTACATAAAATATCTTAGTCAGTTTTCAATTTATTTTGTATTTCAGCCTCAACTGATCCAATTTTTTAGAAGGAAGATTCTTTATTGTTGAAAAACAGGTGAACTTATTCTAGTTATCTTAATTATGTTACAAATTTGCATAGAAAATGTGTCTATACTTAGTTTCACTATGGATCTTAATTATTATAAGAATTTCATCATAACCTTAAACATTGTTTCTTTTTACTTTTCTATTTTTAAGATTTGATTATTTTTCTTGAATAAAAAACTTCACTCCAACCTAGTTGTCCACATTTATAATCCTATCAGTCTTATTCTTGGTCCTTTCTTTCAAATGTTGAGCTGTTGCCTTTCTAGCATGTTTTAGTGTTTCACTGGAGAGTAAAGGTTTATATTTCTGCCCTTCTTAGCCCTAATGCTGTGTCTGTTTTTATAAAGCACTCACTGTATCTTTTTTTTTCCCAATACATTATAGCATTTTTCTTCCAATTTTATTGTGGATTCAGTGCCTGAAATTTTTTCAGAAATATTCTATACCAGCCTTTTAGTGGAAGGAATGACAATATCATATTTATGACCTTGAACATGGAGAGATAAAAGCAGGTTTGCGCTGTAGAAAGAGTGTGCATTTTTCTGTTTGGTTGAAAATAGTTTTGACCTTTTGGAACAGTGTTACCAATATGATGAATATCCTCATGCTTACACTTGGTGTCATTTTTTTATATTTGTATAATAATTAAACATGAGTAAGGGTTTCACAGATGAGCTTTCGATAAACAGGTGCTAACCTTTTGATATCTATATTTTACCAGTACCTTCTGAACAAAACTTATTTCTTCCCTTTAGCAATGAAATTCTAGTAAAATCCTACTGAGAATTTTTCAGCTGGAAATAAAAACTATTTAATGTTATTGGTCTGGGAATCTTAAGTTAGTTAGAATGTGTGAATGATAGATTTCCTGTTATCCTGTGTCAGGCTCAAATAAATTCTGTGGTGACTGGATTGTGTCTCAGAGGAAATGTAGGCATGTTTATTTGTAACATCTTTATTTGTAAAAAAAAATTCCCTTTGACTCTTCAACCTATACTTTTGTGTATCCTTGGATTAATGTGACATCCCTCTTACGGTTAATCAAATTGGGGATAATAAATCTCCTTCAGTCTTACATTGTCAATCTGTGTCAATATCTGTTTCCTCCAAATTTAATGTTACAGTAATGTTGAAAAATAAAAGTGTACACTTGAGGTACTCACGTGAGATACAACTTCGAAAGGCCTTCCTTATTCATCTTGCCCTTTTTCTTTTTGACTTACTGCCTTCTATGATTTACTAGTGGTGCATTTCTAAATTTTAAGATGCTTAAGAAATACTTGTTAAATAAATCTATGCTATCCCTGAAAATATGATGAAGAAATGCTATTAAAAACTTTCTGTATATATTTTTATTTTTTCTATGCTCATATATCACTATTAATAATACAATTTTAAGGTGCTATGAGTAAGCTAAATATAGTCAATTCTGTCTATGTATTCTAGGACCAAATGGAACCTAAGGGATATCTTTCTCATGATCAAAATGCATTTTGTTTTTCTCCAGAAATCAAAAATCTCCACATATGACAAAATGTGGGCTTTTATGAGTAGCAGGAGGCAGTCAGTGCTCGTCAAAAGTAATGAAGAAGGCATCCAGCGAGTCCTCACCTCTGATTATGCTTTCCTAATGGAGTCAACAACTATAGAGTTTGTCACTCAGCGGAATTGTAACCTGACACAGATCGGCGGCCTTATAGACTCCAAAGGTTATGGCGTTGGCACCCCCATGGGTAGGTTATATATCGGCCACTTGTTCTTTGTTCATTAATCTCAGTTGCTGTGAGAAACGGAAAAGACACTGCTACCATATGCCTTTAAGAATTTTGTTTTACCAAGTACATCACAGTATATTCTGTTACTGTATAAAAACAGGGAAACACTTTGGAAATCTGCCTCTAAATAGATATGTAACAGAGGAAATATTAATTTCTACCAAAATGATTTCTCAGAACTTTTAGCTGGTCTGCATTCTCTGGATGAGGGCAGAGATTTGTATCTTCTTGTTGTTGCTGTTACTGTTGTTACATGCCCACACAACAGTGCCCGTACTCCTTGGATCCTTAATTATTATGTATTGAACAAGTGAATTCTACATTTGAAAATATGATACTATAGCAAGATTTATATACAGAAAACCAAATCACTTTTAGAACTGTATAAAAGCATGGCATTTTATATGATTAAATGTGATAGACTCATTATGTAAATTTTAGTTTTCCGAGGTAGTAAGAACTGAGCAGGATTAGGGAAAAATGTGTGAGGAATTTGGAGGAGGGTACAGTTGCCTTCATTATGAAGAGTTACATGACAGAACTCATAATTTCAGAAATAAAATATGGTGACTTTCACCTCATAAAGTCACCTCAAACTTAAGGGATTTTGTTTGCTTGCTTGCTTTTTTTGTAACTGTATTTTACCAAAGGACTGTCTCTATCATACTATCTTGCTGTGATAGAATGTTTGCTATAAATAAGTAAAAATAATTTATTATACAAATCTTTAAAACCAACTAGGATATTTCAGATATGAAACTATGAGAAAAGAAAGATACCATTGAATCAGTTCTAAGAAACATCTCTGTTATAGTTTATTGGATCATAAAAAGATCAATTTAAAAAATGATATTTTATAGTGTTTTTGGTGAATGTTTACACTGCAAATTAGGTTGTCATTTCTACACAAATTGTTCAGAGACATTTTTTACATTCTTAGCAATGCACAAACATTCTCGTTATTCCCTTGTTCTATATCCATTAATCTAGTTTCCCTTCCCTCTTACTAGGGCTTTGAACCAATTCTTCCCTTCCAGTCATAGCTAACAAGGGAAACCAGAATGGACCAAATGTGTAAAATGTGGGTGAACTGAAATGAAAACTGGAACGGGAAAAATTACAAGTCAATGGCCTGCTAAAAACTTAATATTCCTCTTAGAAAACAAGGGCAGTGTGCATGTTGCATAGAAACCAAATCTCTTAACTGGAAAAGTAGGAATCAACGGTGCCCCACTCAAAGATGGAGGTTGTCTGGGCTGCTTTGAATGTATGTTAGTCTTCACAGTACTGGCAATAATCCAGTCTCCCACATTATGCTCCTGAAAGGGCTCACCATGCTTCGTCCAGTCTCCCATTCCAATATCTCATTTCATAATTTTTCCTGTTCTGGTTATTGTTCCACTATACTGAAGTTTAAACAACAACAACAAAAATGTGGCTCTGTTCTGATTTTGCTTGCATTGGCCATAGTGGAACAGATTCAAACTGGTTTGAAGTCCTGTCCCTTACTATCTCATCTTTGTTTCAAAGTAATTGGTGATTATTTGATCCCATAGAGATGATTTTTAAAGGAGCACAATACTTACAGGTGATACTCTTTCTTTATTTTGTGAGCCAATCTGCTATTTAGCTAAAAGCTAACCTCAGGGCCTAGTTCTAGTTTGAGGTTTAAAGAATACTTCAGAGAAATCCTGTTGGGGAGTCCTCTAGCCTCAACCAGTTTCATACGTCTGGATTTTTTTTTTTAAGAATTTGAAGTTTTATTCCACATTTTTCTTCCATTCTATGAGGCCCTGATTAGAATGGTAGTTAGTGGTAGCCTGGCACTATCTAGTTCTGGTCTCAGGGTAGATAAGGCTATATGGTTCCTGTAGACTATTAGTCCTGTTAACTAGTTTCTTCTCTGAGTCTTTGGTTTCCTTCTTTTGTTTTTCTCCAGATGAGTAGAAACTGATAGCTGTAACTTAGATGGATGTTCACAAGATTTTAAATCCTCAGACACTACTCACCAGGCTAGGATATAGAACATAAATTCTATGAATAGTGGTCTCTGTATAAACACCAGTTCTTGTATTTTATAAAAATGAATCATATAATATTTGTCCTTTTGTAATTGACTTATTTCATTCAGCATAATGCTCTCCAGATTCATCCACATTTTAAGATGTTTTATGGACACATCATTCTTTATGGCTGTATAGTATTCCATTGATTGTATGTACCCCATTCCTCCATTCATCTGTTGATGGCCACTTCGGTTGTTTTCATCTTGTTGCTATTTTGGTTAGTGCTGCCATGAACATTGGCATGTATATGTCTGCTCCTGTCTCTTCTGTGAGATCTCTAGGGTACATACCTAGAAATAGGATTGCTGAACAATAAGGTATTTCTATTTTTAACTTTTCCAGGTAGCACCATAATGTTTTCCATAGTGGTTGGACCATTTCACAATCCTACCAGCAGTGGACAAGTGTTTCAATCTCCCTATGTCCTCAACAACATTTGTTGTTTTCTATTTACCTGTTTGCTTTTCATTTTTGCCATTTTAGCAAGGGTGAAATGAAATCTCATTGTACTTCTGATGTTTATTTCTCTAATGGCTAAGAATTGTCATTAGAGATTGCCTTTCATAAGTTTATTGGCTATGGCATAGTGCTTAAGGCATTTGACTTCTAATCAGAAGGCTGTCAGTTCAAACCCACCAGCCACTCCATGGAAAGAAGATTGGACAATTTACTTCCATAGTGATACCACCTCGGAAACACAAGGAGGGGTCGCTATGAGTCCAATCGACTCAACATCAGTGAGTTTTTTTTTCTAATGGTTTTGAGACTCAGCACCATTTTTGATTTGGCCCTATGTTTGATAGTATTTACTAAAAGGCATTGATATTATTAAAGAAAACATAAAATAATTCAAAATGTTAATAAATATATTGACTAAATTTATTATTGTAACATTTAAAATTGAGGAAAACACAGTGCACAGAACTTAGAATTTCTATTTCATTTTAAGCTTATCTTATAGATAAGATGAAAGAACAAAACCAATTTAAAACTGTAAGCCTTAGGATGTAGTTTTTCTTTTTTCCCCCTTTATCTCTTTAACCCTTGGTTTATCAGATCAACATTTGCCCTTCTGAAGAAAGCTGAGTTATTGTGGTAATATTCACTGATGTTAGCAATGTCACTTGCATAAGAAACTTTGAGAAGTTGAATTGAAATATGTATTTCTAGTGTAATAATTTCTTCACTGTATATAGATTAGTGCAGGGTAATAAAGTAGTATTTTTTAAAAATTAGGCAAAATACATGATACAATTCTAGCTTTCATAAGGAGCTTCCAAGAATTTCACTGTGAAATTTCTAGTCTACACACAGTTCCAGGGATATGAACATCTGACTTATGGAGAACTACTACTTGCCCTTTAATGTTATATACATTTTCCCTCAGTTTGAAACATTTGAACCAACCCCTACTCAAAAAAAGAAACAAACACAAATTCTCCATTAAATCACCTTCACTTGCTGCATGGGTACTTTTTAAATAGTTGGAAAGGTTTCAAGCCTTTTCTTGTACTAAAGTAAGAACCATATGCATCTTTTCCAAATCACTTAATTACACATTTAGGAATGGACCTTGTTTGTAACCCAGTGACTGCCTATGTATTAATAAAGACTCGAAAGATCAGGATAATAGTTTGATATGACAAATACTTCAGACTTGGAAGCACATTCTTTATTTCTATTGCCAATGATACTGAATTTAAATTTATTAAGCTGTTTCATTACTATTAGAATAAAATTCTTAATATATTAACACAAGTTTTGTTTTGACCTAGTCCTGAAGGAGATAAATTTGAATACAGTACTTTATGTTCAAATGAATGATTATTCAAATCATTCATCTGCAGATACTGCAATATATTTTTTGTTTATTTTGTTCAGATAATGTGTTGTCTTCTGTTTTAAACCAAAAATACCAAACACACTTCCATCGAGTCGAACCCGACTCATAGTGACCCCTCCTTGGATTTCTGAGATGGTATCACTACGGAAGGAGATTGTCCAGTCTTCCTTCTGAGAAATGGCTGATGGGTTTGAGCTGCCAGCCTTCTGGTTAGCAGTCAAATGCCTTAGAGGTCCCATTTAACTTTAGAAAATGGCATCTTATTTGCTTTTAACATAGCATAAAAGTAAAATGGTTTTGAGACTCAGTACATTATGAAGGAGTCTTAATGTACTCATAAAACTTTATCAAAAAAGTATAATCTGCAAAGAGACTTCACTCCCTCACATACTTCAATTCAGATAAAAAGGTTTCAGGCAGTATTTACTTTTTCATACCTCTCCTAGGAAAATAGGAGTCCTGGTGGTGCAGTGGTTAAGTGCTTGGCTGCTAACCAAACTCACCAGCTGTTCAACAGGGGAGAGATATGGCAGACTGCTTTTGTAAAGATGTTCAGTTTTGAACCATCTGAGGCAGTTCTACGCTGTCTTATGATGTTGCTATGAGTCAGAATTGACTTGAGGACAGTAATTTTGGTTTGGATTTTGGCTAGGAATACTACCTAATGAATTATTTATATATATTAAGTAACTAATAAACATGATGAAATGTGACTCTAGTACTGAATGAGATTCTGACTTCTTACACGCTATCAATCAGCATCATGATCTGTGTTTCTAAACTAGTTAACAAGGGTTTGCCTTTTACGTCATCTTTACTCAACCATACTGAAGATTATTTGTAATAGATGATATTTACTTATTTTAAAATTTTGCTTAATCATTAACCAAAAAAGGAAAGAATGTACTTAGGTATAAAAAATGTGTTTGAGGCTCTTCCTCTTTTCCCAGCAGGAGTTAATGAGACCAATATATTCAAAGCACAATAATAGGGGCTAAAGTTCTGGAAAATTTAGATCAATTCCAGAAATCCCCAGGATTTTGAATTTA